CATACTGGAGAGTTGTTTGTTGGTCCACGTATATCTAGCGCCTGTCCTAGCGATCTCCCGCAGGGCACATGCCGCGATAGTATTATCGATAGTATTATTCAATAAGTTCACTCCAAGCCAGTCTATATTATGGTTTTTCTTATCCGCTCCCGAGCGAATAAGATTAAAATCGCCCCCAAGGACAATGGGGACGTTGGCGGCTTGCTTGGCCCCAACCAAGCTTTGGATTTCACCCAAGAAATCAGCAGCCCAAGAATGATTGGGTGGTCCGTAGACGCAAACAATCACCTAAGAAACAAGAGAAATTATGTGTTTAATCGTAACTGCAATGAAAAATGAGCCCACATCCTAGCTTACAACATCACATGCATCACTGTTACATCCCAAAAGAAGACCGCTAGAGTGAACCACAGAAGGCACCCAGCCCCAAACAAAACGATGAAGGGGGTCGTAAGCTGTCAAATCTCTATACGTAAAATCGGCTTTAATTGTTTCCTGAAGCGCGATGACGTCAATACGCTCGCGGGCAATGTACTCCTTAAGCTGGGTACGATGGCTAGAGTGGCTGTAGCCCCGAATGTTCCAGAAAAGGTAGCGCATCACATAATACGATTGCGACGGCGCACCCCTCTGGATGTCACCAGTTTTGCCACATGTTTTTTAGCCGGGGCACGTCTCGTCGAGGGGGTAGCCTCCACCTCCCTGGTTTCAGCAGCCCCACCCGACAGCACAACAGACCCTACAGGGTCTGGCACAACCAAAGACGTGGCAGAGGCCTCCCTGGCCTTTGCCAACATGGCAGCTTCAGCCAGAGCCGCTTGGGCATCTTCGCGAGCACGAATCAACGACACTAGCTCACCGCTCTCTGCACCTACTTTAAAACCGCTATCATCGAGGATCGAGACAAGTTCCAGGTCTGTAAAAGCATTCAGAATCTTAAAGGAGGGGGGGATTACCTGTAGTTTTGAGATTCTTCTCCGCAAGGCGCAGCTGCGCGCTCTCCATGGATGACAGCTCTCCTAGCTGTGCCTTGGCCCGGGCACTTGGCACGCACTGGGACACTGGGGAAGCGCGAGAGCGCCGAGCCTTGGACGATGCGCCCGCAGAGCCCAGAGCCGCCTGCAGGTCCACGCATACCGACGCATTAGGCGAAGGAAGGGAAAGCACGGCGCGGTTGGCCGAAGGCTTGCGTCGAGCCGTCTTCTTAGGAGCACGACTGGAACCCCCCGCACTGCGGCGGCTTGACAACGGGGTTTGCATGGATGGTTCGTTGAGCACCACACCCGTGTCAGAGCCCAGCAGACTGGGGGAAGCCGGGTCACCCGAGAGCATGGAGCCAGCGCCAGCCAACTCCTTAGAACCAGACTGGTTAAATTCCCCCATCAGCGTGCGCGCCGGTGGTGGGCTGTTCCATGCCGTATCCGCAGTCGCAAGCGCTCCCGGCGCCGCCACTTCTTTGTCCTCGACGAGCGCGAGAGCTTTGCGGCCCAGCATATCCCAGGTCTCTGTGTCAATCGACATGTTCGGCATGCTGTCCTCATTCTCCTCGTCATGGCAGGCCTTGATGGTGACTGCCAATGGCAGTACCCGGCCCTCCCTGAGCCACGGGCGTAGCCTGCAGCTGGCCATTCGCACCCCCGTTCCCCAAACCAGGCTGGCCCTGTTTGTCGCTAGGGCGGGGAGGAGCCTTTTTAGAACTTGGCCCCACTGGTCCCTCACCCGTGCGCTTCGGGAGTCTTTCCACCTCCACCTTGATGTCAAAGCCCTCATGATTGAACCATACTTGCACGAAGCCATTCATCTTGTCCAGAGCTTTGCATCCAAACTTCATCCTCACCGGTCCCATCCGGATGAGTGAGAGCTCATCCACCACAATGGGCCTGCCCAACATCTTCAGTCCTTCCATCAGGCGGTCGACACGCAGGTGCTTCTTGGGGATGCCATGGAGACGGAGCCACACCTCTGGCATGGAGAGAGGCACAATGCTCTCCTGGATAGAATCACGCACCCGCACCGTAGTATCATTGATAGAGAGAAACAGTTTACCACTAGATTTAGCCATGTGCAACAGATCCGCGGAGGGAAAAGTAACCGCGAAGTCATCATCACCCACTTGAGAGATCTGCCAATCCCAGTCCCCCTCAAACATGTGCTTCAGCTCCAGCTTGAGTACGCGCAGCAAGAGCCTCCCTGGCTCCACCGACAAGATAGCCCCATTGGCAGCCTGGAGATCATTGCCCTCAACCTCCTATTCTTCCTTGACGTCCAAGCAGAAAAACCGTTCACCCGGTATCGCACTTCCCATGATCTGAAGGTGGAGATGCTTGCCCCACGTCGGGCAAAAGGCCGAGGTGTGCCCTTCCTGCTTACAGATCACGCAGAGGGGAGGAAAGGTGCAATTGGCCTGGAAATGCCCGGTCCTGCCGCACTTGAAGCATTCGCCCCCGTCTTCTTCGACTGGGATGGGCGCGTCCGTCTACCCGCACAACGCGTCCGGCAGCACCACCGCCATCGGGACGGCCGACGCCCGTGGCTTGTTAGCCAACGGATCCCCATGGCCCCCACCACAAAGTAGGTGCTCCTGCGGCTTGCGCTCCAGTTCGCGCCACCGCGCCCCATTCTTGCGCTTCTTCTTTCGCTCCTACTGGCCCCACCAAGGGGGAGGAGGGCCCCAATCCCCCTCGTGCCCGTGAGATCCAGAGCCATAGCCTTGGCCATGGCTACCCTCATAGCCCTGGCCGGAACCACCACCCTGGCCTTGCTCGAAACCACCACCACCATCTTCATGCCCTGCCGCCTTGGCCCGTTAACCACGCTTCGCCTGCTCCCACAGCGCCTTCTCACACCGCCTCTCCTCGTCGGGGATCGGAGGATCCATCGGCCTCTTCTCCACTCGCCGGTCTCCCATGGCTGCCACCGCAGCAAAGGAGCGAGTGAGGGGTGGAGGAGGAGGAAGGGGGAGAGAGATCTGGCAAACCGCCTAAAGCGCCGC